TTCTTTATGTTCTTTGATTTTTTTTCTCAGGCTAGCTTGTTGTTTGCCCTTGTCAACACCGAAATGAGACACTGCACACTCACCCCATTCAGTTGACAGTTTCAGTCCTTGTCCAGTGTGTATTCCCAAAGATTTGACATCTCTGCATATCCGACATCCTAGCTTCTTAAGAAGGAGCCATGCATTGGTCTTGCAAAAATATTGCACCTGGTCCGTTGTCCAGCAGTCAGGTGCATCGCTTTGCCCGGTGTTGGTGGTGGCAGTTGCGCCAGCAGCAGCTAACGTTAGAGGCTCTGGAGGAGGCGGCGGAGCTAGTGCTAATGCTAATGCACTAGAACTTGGAGCAGGAGGATCAACCAAAGAAAGCTCCCCATCAGACACAATTTCCAACACAGGCACAGCATTCTCTGTATTTGAAGTTTCTTCCGGCGACAACCGCTGTCTTTTTGCACTTTTATTAATCCACGCTAACATTTTAGAAATGCTAATTTGTGACGTGACTTGCTTTCCTTCTCTCGGGGGCGTGCCTGCTCTGTTCTATCACTCTACATAGCCACCCACTGGGTGGGAGTTGCACTGCATAAACACAACACACGTGCATCTAGGTATGTAAATTGTAAAGCATTAAAACATGGTTTTACTAACAGTTTTCAGTATGTTCGGCATTATTATTATTATTATTATTTTGAAACGTGTATTACTATTAAATCACGGTCAAATAGGTTAATTTTGACATAGTCGTTTCCACCACAGTATTTACATGGAGAAGATAAGCCCCGCCCCTTCTCCAGCACGTTCTGTTTGAATGACAGGAGTAAACAGCTGACAGCCGCTGTGAAACTCCAGCGGTTAGAGCGATGAGAATGTCCGTTCGGCACCTCATGACGCATCTACTGAGTACCGGGCGGCTGTATATATATATATGGATGTATAATAAGAACGGCGGGAGAGTGTTGAGTACTGGCACGGTGCATGAGTATCGGAGTACCGCCAGCATGCCGGTACTGAGCAAGAAGTGCCGGTACTCCATGGGTCAGAACCAGAAGTGCCGGTACTGCGTACCGGTGAGTACCGGCCCAATTCCAGCACTGGCCTCAACTAATATACAGTACTCAGCAACCTGTTCCTGTTTTGTTTTCTTCAGCCTATGTATCTGTATGATTATTATTACTTTTTGTTTTGTTACTTCCCATTGTAAAGCGTCCTTGGGTTTCGTGAAAGGCGCTATATAAATTGAAATTATTATTATTAATTATCACCTCACTGGACACCTCCGCAACGGTGATTCTCTACACAGTCTCTGCTGGGGCTGTCAAGAAGCCTGGCGTTTACAGGCCACATGTTAACAATTTAGTGGTACACTGAATGTTACAAGTCCTAACAGCAGCTTCACATACCTCGTATAGGGGGAATACACGCCTATCAGCCTGACAACGATAACTGGAACAAGAACACTCGTAATAGTCACAGCTGATTTGGGTGAGGAGTGAGGGGGCATTTAAAGTGTGGCGGGAGATGCTGAACTACGTACAGCTGCGCGTTTTCCTTATATGGAAGGGCCAGCTGACTAAAGAAGGGGGGGTGTCTTAAAGGGCCAGTGGCGGCCCAGCCACGTGAAGACATTATCTGACAGCTAATCCAGAAAACAGTAGCGCCGGCTACAATCTGCCCCCAATTTGTTGTATTGGCGACCCGCCGATATCACCCAGTACTATAACAGCTGATTAGTTCCAGGGTCTAAAATATGCAGCTACCATACTACTAAAACCAGGGACCCGAGAGGTTACAGCCCCAGGTAGCCTAACCTCTGCTACCTCAGGCAGGCGATGAGGGTTCGAGTGTTGACCGGCTGTTTTCCGAGCTGTTCTCCTTGGGGGCTCTGTCCCGCTTCCTGAAGCCACTGCAAGGGATGAGTTTAGAGGAGAACTATTAGAAGTGGCTGGTGTTATCTGAAGCGGTCTTGATTCTTCACCAAAGGACCTGGTCACCACAAAGAGACCATCACCCGCTTCTTCCTCAAGCGTGTCCCTGCCCATAGCCACGTGGTCCTCACTCTCAGTGGGGGCATTACTGGGGTCCTCTCTTGCAGATCCTTGAGGGCAAAGATTAGGAGGTACAGGTTTGATCATACATCGATGGAGGTGTTTCACTTTGTGGGGATCGTCCAAGGGGGTCACGGAATATGTGGAGCCCCCAGCACAGGGGGCCTTGATCACCACATGGATGACTGGGCTCCACCGGTCCTGGATTTGGACTCTTCCTCTTCTGCTGTGGTCTCTCACGTAGACCAGCTGTTTTTCCTGCAGGTCGCCTGGCATTAGCTCCAGCGTCATGGCGTTCCTTGCGAGAGTTTGCAGCTTTCTCCATTCTCCAACGTGCCCCGTCGTAGGCCACCTGTAGTCGTTTTTGATGCTCCTGGACCCAGGTTTCAACTCTTCCATGGGAAGGTTCTGGAACTCTTCCCAGGAGGAAGTCAACAGGTAAATGAGGCTCCTGTCCAAACATAAGGTAGTAAGGGGACTCACCGGTAGATTGGTGGATGGTGGTGTTGTATGCAAACGTAACCTGGGGAAAAATGTAGGGGAAGCCCATTTTTTGGGTCGGGGGGGTGGTCAATAACGTAACCAGAGGAGTGATTACAGCGCCCGGTATCATTTTACACACATTTGTATCACACAGATGCAGGACTTGCCTGTTATCTAACCGAAAGGTCCGCACGCACTCTCCAGCTGAAACTCTCTCCTTATTAATTTAAGCATTTTACTTATTAATGTATGCAGACAATCACACAATCTATGTGATTTTTGGATTTACCGTGCCTCTCAATTGCCCGTGACAGGTTGGCAAGGTCGATGAATCCTGAAGTTGCCCAAGGATTGTTCAGGGAGCACGAATCCTTGTCAAAAAGAAGACATGGCCAGCAAAATAGACGCTGAAGTTTAGCGCTTCCAGTTAGCCACTCCGTGCGGACATAATTGTCCTCATTGAACATCCGATTCTCTCCATTTTTCCTCTGTGTACACACAGCTGGAGTGCGGGCATTGGCCTGTCATCTGATTTAATTTTTAGTTGCTGCTGTAGCGGAAGTTTAGTAAAGTTATGTTTGATTAAGTACGCCAAATCTCCACCCTCCATAATGCTTCATTTGCTTGATAATTTCTAACGGCGGTGATGACAGTTACAGTATTAAAACTGATGTTGATGTGATTTGATTGGATGGCAGTGTCCAATCAAATCGCCAGCCGCCAGCCGCCTCTGAAGGGAAGCAAGAGGCGGCTGGCTTCCCTTGGCATGGCCCTGACCAATCACAGGTTGGCAGGGGCATCACGTGGGCCTCATCTGATTGGTTAATCCCTCAATTTTTTTTCACCAAGGGAAGCCAGATTCGGCTGGCCTCCTCTCGCAACAGTGAGTGCAATCTACTGTTTCACCATAACATCTAGAGGGGCGCTGTTTGTTTCACTCTTTGTAAAATACTCAATGAGAATGGGGGAGAGACGGGCAGGCAGCAACACACAGCAAAGGAGAATTATCGAAACAAAACAAAGTGTTTTTATTTAAATTATAACTACAATCCGAAAAAACAGGGGAAGCCTGGCTTCCCTTGGCCTCCGGGAGAAAACGCCACTGGTAACCTGAGGCAAGTATCTAGACCAATTCTGCTTCCTTTCAATTGGGAGCGTACGGAGTAAATCATGGAGAGTCCGGTTGAACCGCTCACACTGCCCGTTACCCTGGGGGTGGTATGGTGTAGTCCAGGTTTTCTGAATGTTCACATAGCTGTTGAATAAGGGCACTCTCAAAATTCCTACCCTGGTCAGAGTGAAGACGAGCGGGCACTCCAAACTTGTAAAACCACTCTGTCACCAGAACATGTGCTACTGTTGAGGCACGTTGGTCCTTCGTTGCTACAGCCTGGGTGAACTTCGAAAACACGTCAGTCATTACAAGGACATTTTCTTTGCCCTCTTGCGAGGGTTCAAGGAGAGTAAAGTCAATTGCCAATATCTGATTGGGTTTGGAGGCCAGGAGGTAGCCCATGGGTGCTTTGGTGTATGGTTGAGTTACCTTGGCAAGTGTACAGCGCTCACACTGCTGGCACCACTCTTTGATGTCCCTGGGCATGTGGGGCCAGTAACATCTTTGTCGTACAAGATCCGTTGTCCTCTCCATCCCCTGGTGGCCATGACCCTGGTGTAGCTGCTGCAGAACCTCACTCTTCAGACATCCTGGAAGGAGTAGTTGGTAGAAGTCCTCTCCTCCATCTGGCCTCTGAGTACGGCGATACAGCAGTCCATCCATCTGGGTGATCCTTTCGCATTGCCGACATAGCTCCAGGACCTGGGGAGAGAGGGTTGCTCTGTCTGCCCTGTCTGGGCGCTTGTGGCTTTCCCAGTACTGTAAAAACATCCCTATAACTGGGTCAGCCATCTGAAGAGCAGCCAACTCAGTGCCTGAATGTGATGGAAGGGCAGAAATGGCAGCTTGGATTACCAGATGATGGGCCTCTGAGCTGCAAGGTTTCTGCAAGGCCTTGGGAATGAATGTCCCTGATAGGGGCAGCTCTATGACCTCCTGGGGTGGCACAGGGTGCCTTCTTGAGAGTGCATCAGCGTTAACGTTGGCCCTGCCTGACCTATACTGAAGGGTGTAATCAAAGTCTGCCAACGCCGCGGCCCAGCGCTGTTCAGTAGCCCCTAACTTTGCTTCAGGTGGCTGAGGGGGTTATTATCAGTCCAGACAATGCATTTTTGGCCCTGCAGGTAGTCCCGGAATTTCTCTGTCATGGCCCACTTTAATGCCAAGAACTCAAGCTTCATGGAACTGTAGTTGGACATGTTTCTTTCTGTGGGTTTCAACCCACGACTGGCATAAGCTACAGGTCTCACTTTTCCGTCCTGCTCCTGCGAGAGAACTGCTCCTAGACCGCCATAACTTCCATCAATTTCCAAAATGAATGGAAGGGAACAGTTTGCGTAAGCCAGGACAGGTGCACTCACCAACTTTGCTCTGAGATCCTGGAAACTCCTGTCACTCTCTTCAGTCCAACTGTCCCCCAGAGGTTGCTGCTGCTTCCGGCAAATCGGCAAATCCCTCCACAAAGCGCCTGTAGTAACTAGCAAAGCCCAGAAAGGATCGTAACTCCGACACAGTAGTGGGGCAGTTCCAGTTTGCCACTGCAGAGATCTTATCCGGATCTGTAGACACACCATCAGCAGAGATGACATGGCCGAGGTACTTTACCTCCTTTTGGAAGAATGCACACTTGCTCAGCTTCACTTTCAAGCCCTCTTGCTGCAGCTTGTTCAACACAGCTCCCAAACGGTCCAGCTGTTCATCCACTGTGGAAGAGAAGACGACAACATCATCCAAATACAACAGTAGGGATTGACAGTGCTGGTCCCCGAACATCCGCTCCATCAGTCTCTGAAAGGTGCTAGGTGCGTTACAAAGGCCAAATGGCATTCTATTGAATTCAAACAAGCCAAATGGTGTGCAAAAAGCAGTTTTCAGTTTGTCTTTTTCTGCCACAGGCACCTGATGGTATCCACTTGCCAAATCCAGGGTCGTGAACCACTTTGCTCCAGAGTGCATCAAGCGATTCCTCGATCCTCTGCAATGGGAAGGCATCCCGACACACAGGTGGATACTGCCATCTTTCTTCTGAACGATGACGATTGGAGAGACGTAGGGGCTGCTACTCTCTCGGATCACCTGGCTGTCTAACAACTGTCGAATATGTGCCTTTACTGCCTCATACTCTGAGGGGGGTACTCTCCTATATCGCTGACGATCCTGGCCATACTGTGGAGTGGAGCATGTGGTTTGCTGGGCACTTTTTGCATGCAGATATGGGTGATTTGCAGTGAGTGTTGATTGAATACAGCTACACGTGGTGATATTGTGGTTTTGGGGAAACCCTCAGCAGTTGGCCAGAACAATAACTTTTTAACTATTTAACTATCACTATATGTGTGATATTGTAATTATTCTAGTTATTCTCTCCTTGTCAGAGCCAGCCTTCAATCGTGGGACTTAGGTGTGTCGACTGGGAAAGCTGAATACGTTTTAATCTGCATTTATATTACTGAACTTTTACTTGATTATTTATATAATAAACGTTTGTAAACATTTGAACTTGAGGCTGCGTCCCTGTCCATCCTTTTATTCTTATCTGCGTGACTTGTCCTAAGGGCTCGTATTGGGGAACCCAGGTTAGCGTTAAATATCCTAACCCCCTTTTAATTATCGCAGCCCCCCCTCACCGGTGGGGCAGGTCACACTTGACAAATGATTATCCCCATTAGTCACTAAGAAACAAAAACATGGAAAAATAGTTTCACTGCATTCTGTGGTGGTAAGCGGAAAGTAGGCTACATGGACACACTCTTTCACTTATCCACAGCTCCCCACATAACATACATTCTTTATATACTGTGTTGTGGCCAGGAAATCCAGATATGGGACATTTATTAATCATTATGTTCACTTTTAGCTGTCATGCTATGGTGAGGTTCTGTAAATCTGTTTAATACAGTGAAATTATCTTCTTTTTCTTTGTTCATTGGCGGTTGGCAAACCAACTTGTAGGTGCATTACCGCCACCAACTGGACTGGAGTGTGGACAAGAGACTATGCAGAAAAATAATAAACGAAAGAAAGAAAAGAAAAATGAAATAAAACTCAAACTAAATTGATCAATTTCTCTTAGAAACTTAATAATTTCACAATATATATTGCCTGATGTTTTCCCTAACAGCCCTGATAGCAAAAAGGCATGGTATTTTCATTTGATTTCTTCATTCAGTGTCTGGAAAAGCACATTCCTCTGAGTAATATATTTCCTGCAATGCAGTAAAACATGTTCAACAGTTTCTGGCTGGCTACAGTGTATACATTTTCCGGTTGGATGCTTTCCTATTATACTTAATGTATGATTGAGAGCAGTATGACCTATTCTCATCCGAGAAATTACATTTTCTCTTCCCTTCTTTTAAACCGCACCTTCCTTCCATCCCCCACATACCTTTGAATTTTATAAAGATGTCTTCCTGTATCACTTATGTCCCAATGTTCTTGCCATGTTGTTTCTGCATATTTCTGTATGAATGTTTTAACCTCCGCTTTGCTGAGTGGAACTTCAATGTCTGTGTTCGTAATTCTGAGTGTTTGTTTGGCCAGAATATCCACCTGTTCATTACCCTCCACACCAACATGAGCAGGAACCCAGATGAAACGAGTTGCTATGCCTCAGTGATATGATTTGCGGGATTGTTGGTACGATAGTACGAGTTTCATGGTCACTAAATTTGTTTGTTGAATTAAGCACTGATTGTGCAATCCTTAAAGGTCCCATGTCATGCTTTTCTGGTTATTACCTGTCCCCTTGTGTGTTATGTAGCTTTTTCTGCATGTAAACGGTCTGCAGAGTCACAAACCCTCAAAGTACACCCTGTAGGGAGTAAAACTCTAACACAGAAAATACGTGTCTATCAGTGTTTCCGCCAGACCAGGGCTGAGAGGGCATCCACCCGAGAGAGTGTCACGTGACTCGAATTTTGAATCGAGCCGTCCCTTATAGTTGATAATATCTCTTTACGTTAGTGATGGGAATTACGGCTCTTTTTAGTGAGCCGGATCATTTGGCTTGGCTCACTAACAAGAAGAGCCGGCTCTTTAACTAACCCGTTTACCACGGAGCCTCAGTTTCGCCGCTGCGAGGCTCCGGCGCTCGCAGTTCACGCGCATGGCACCGTGGGTTCAGTACTCCGAAAAATAATCCCAATAGGCTCCTTTGCCCCTCCAAAGATGTCAAGGATGTCCTTGTTCTTTTTCCTGTTCGTCATTTCAAACAATCTTTTTTTTTTTGGACGCCCTCGGCTCGAGTTCAGGCCGTTCCGAGCTGAATAAGGCCGTCAAATTACGGCAAGACGCCCCCCTGGCGGAAACACTGGTGTCTATGCTGCCCCAGAACGCCTCGTTGGAGATTTTTTTCTTCCTGGTCATAGTGACGTAACGCTGCAGAGCTCCGCACACACACACACACACACACACACACACACACACACACACACACACACACACACACACACACACACACACACACACACACACACACACACACACCACACACACACACACACACACACACACACACACACACACACACACTCAGCCTTATCTTTTCTCAGCCGCGGTGCTCTGCAGAGCTCCGTACACACACACACATACACACACACACACACACACACACACACACACACACACACACACACACACACACACACACCACACACACACGGAGCTCAGGCTGTGTGTGTGTGTGCTCAGGCTGAGTTCTGCGGTGTCTCGCTGTCTCGCAGACCCCACGCAGACCCCACACAGCAACCAGGAAACGACACCAGTAATCCAGCTCACACAGTCCGCTCCACGAGCCTCAAACAAACGCCATTGTAACACATAATCACACATCAGAGCACAGTGGGCTCATAGGGAGGGAGGGGGGGGGGGCAGGAGCTCCAACAAAGCATGTAGGACAGAGAGTGAATACACATACTATACAGAGATGCTGTATGAAAAACCAATGTGAGTTTGGAACATTGAACAATGTAAATCTATTCTAGTATACCTCACCAATGGAATTATGATGAGTAGAAATGGCCGTGACATGGGACCTTTAACACACTCGACACAACACGGTGCACTATACAGGTTAACATTTTTGACACATTTAGTTATTAAATAGATCTTTAGAAGCGTTTGTATCTGAATTTTTGGACACATTGAAACCACATATTGTTACTATTACATTTCTGTTTATGCAATGCTTTTTGGAAATGAGTTAACTTGGTGATGCTGGTATGTGTAGCTTTGATCTTTAGACAGAGCCAGCCAAGCTGAGCTGATTTTTTTTGTCTTTATTTATGTGTTAAAGATCTGCAATCCTATCATCAGAGACTAATTCAATTGGCATTGTAAGAACGTTTTTTTTTCTTCTACGTATATCAGCGGTTCATTTATGACTAGAGTGTGAAATATTATTTATTTGACAGTAGGTTATGTCAAATATGAATGATCTGTAATGTTTGTAAGATCCATCTTACATCATTCCTGCTAGTGTCCAGCTTCAAAAGGCATGTACTAAAGGCATACATGTTTACCCACACACAAAAGATGAAACATCTTTTGCTTTATGAGTTCAGACAAACATCTATTGTGACGCTCCAGCTCAAGGCCTACCACCCCCGTCTCCCAACAACAAAAGGGGGGAGTGGTGGGGGCTGCAGCCTTCTCCTCTCACACTGCTATCTAAAATATAAAAGCGCCTTTGAAAATTACTTCTGTTAGAATTTCAGCATGCAGCCTTGAAAGCCTCGAAGATGCTAAACAGTGGGTCCAAATCTTTGGCTTGAGAGGAGAGAAGCTTGATCCTGATGAGGAAATAATCACTGCCTCTGACACTTTGTTAAAAGCAGTTCGCCAAACCAAATGAATAAGAAACATTAAATGCTGCAGGCCATGGAAACTTTGTGCTTATTTCTGATTTTCCATCCCTCCTTATTTGTAATGTCAAGAACAAGGATGCTCATGCAGTTACAATCTAAATTTGTTTTGTGATGAAGTATGCACATTTTGTTTCTCAGAACACAATGTTGTCAGAAAGTATTAGGGCAGTGATGTTTTCATAGAGTTGCGAGGTTGAAATGCTGACTTTCAGCTTGTGTTCACGTCCATACTGGCTGAACAGTCTTAACTTATATTACTTAATACTTTTTTAACAACTATTCCTGATTATAAAAAAACAAACAAACAGAGAATCAAATGTGAAATGTGTCGCTTGTAGTGAGGCACCTAGAGAGAATTATCACCGGCATATGTAGCTCTCATCAGCTTTGCTTAAAGAGTGGTGCAGGAATGAGTCCTAAAACACAGAAAAGTAGCCTTTTACCACTTCCGGTTGCTTTTTCTTGAAGTCAATGTGTTTTTTTCATGTGTTTGAAGTAAGAAGTCAGAAAAAAGGTCTGTGGTTCACACAAGCTTACGAGATTTTACCACAAGAAACGTCAGTAATTACCCCACTGGTGAATCTCTAAAGCTTCTTTATATCATAAAAACGACGGTTGTTAACATGTGACTAAATGAGACTAAACGTCATCACACAAGTCCGCCTTTAGCGATGCACAGCAGTGCGACCGTGATGTAGTTCTTTATAGCTTTTTATTTCTGCCGATTGCATTTTCCATTTCGAAAATCACAAAGAGGTGTTAATATGTGGAGATTATCCTGCTG